CGGAGCCTCTCCCCCCGCCGGCTGCGGGAGCCCTGGCCCGGCCGCGGCTTTCGAAGAATCGAAAGGAAAGTGCGCGGCGCGGGGCGCCCTCTCCGCCGCCTCCGCCCCACGTGCGGCCCCGGGGGCCGGCCGGGCAGTGCCAGCCCCGGGGTGCCCGGCTTGGCAGGACCCACTCCCCGGCTCTCTGCGCTGGTGGCCCGGCTCCCCCGGGGCGCGGGGCCAGGGGCTGGGGGGCGCAGCGGGGACAGCCCCCACCGGGCGCCCTGGAGCTCCCCGGCCAAGCGGCGCTTCGCTCTTTATTTCCTCTTTGGGGAGTGAAAAATGCCCCATTGCACAGCCCTGCAGGGGCGCCCCCAAGCCAGGGCAAGCCGCCCCCCCCCCCGCGAGCTTTCAGTCCTTGGACTCTGCTGCGGGGGGCAGCCCAGCTCTAGCTATCCAGTGGGGCCAGCTCTCCTGAGTTTACTGAGAGTCTCCCATTACTGGGTGTGCTTCCTAAAGCCCCAGCTGCTGGAGTCAGGTGATCCAAAGAGACTCTCTGCCTTCATTCACTACAAAGTCAAGTGGGTAGACCCCCTGGCCTGAGCTAACCGCTTGGGACAATGTCCATTCCCCTACGAGCTTATATACCAGAAGCCAAGGAGGGAGCACCCACCCTTGTTGTTTTTGTAAACGGTCGTGGGCTGATTGATGATTCTGTGAAAGGTGGGGTTGAGCCACCCTGGAAACAAGAAAAGAGATTTTTAAAAAAGGGAGCGTGTGCAGCGCGAGCTCCCACTGCCAGTGGCTGGGGCTGACCCTTGGGTTGATCAGTAATGCATTCGTACAGGACACATGCATCCAGCCTGCACGGAAGGGACAGATTCCCTTGTCCAAAGTCTCATGATGCACATTCCTGCTGACGCTGTGGCTGCCCCTTGAAATAGGCTCCCCTCCTGTTCCTGCGGCGAGACCCTGTGCCCCTCTCCACGCGGTTAGTCTTTGCAGCCGAGCCGAGCTTCACCTGTACGCCTTCCATGCATTAATGGAGCTTCGTTCCTGGTGTTCTGCAGCAGGAAGGCAATGAAAGGGTTAACCACAGTCCCACCTCTTGGGCGCTCCACCTGTACACATGTCCCCACACCAGGCTCCAGGTGAGGATGAGTCCTTTGTCCTCGGGCAGTGCTGTCTCTACTTTCCTGCACGCTCTTTCCCTCCTGGGGCCCCGAAATCAGTATGGGGGCATCTTGGGTGATCCCGGGAGCATCTATGTCCGTGTCCCTCACGAGGTGGAACCCCACACAGCGAGGCTGGAGTCACGCCTGCCGCTCTGCTGGTGGCCCAGAGCTGCACAGCTGTGCCCTGGAAATGACCCAGGTGGGCACTGCCACTCTGGGGACCGGTCTGCACAGAGCTCTGCCTCCCGCTGGAAGTGCCAGAGATCAAAGGGAAAGGGCATTTCAGCTCCATTTACGAAGGCCCAAGCCCCAGTGCTGGAGCAGCTTGGGGGGGCACAGTCCTGGGCTGGGGTAAAGGTTCCTTCCTCTGCACCTTCCAAAGTCTGATTTCGCCTCCCGTTGCCACCCACCTCCCCACACCCAGCACTCCCTCCTCTCCACCAGGCAGGTGCAGCGGGGTGTCCCGGGGGGCTCCTCATGGCAACCAAGCCCACAAGCGGGGCCCATGTCCATTACTAGGCCAGGCCGGGTTATTTCCCTGCTCCTGGGCTGTGATTAGGTGTGAGTACAGGGCAGGGTGGCCGCAGACCTGGATTCTATTCCTGGCTGCTGCTCACTGACATGCCAGGCAACCTTGCGCAAGCCACTTCCCCTGGCTGTGCGATGGGGGTAATGACCCTGACCTGCTCCCAGGGATGTCACAACCGTCGACAGCTGTTTGTTCAGGGCTTGGTACAGGCAACACGCTGCATCGGTGCCAAGTGTTATTTAAGAGTTTTAGCTCCCACTGGGGAGCTGGGATGGGGCCCTGTTGCGGCAAGCTCTGTGCAGACACGCAGGAGACATCACCCGGTCCTCGCCCTAGCAGCTCCCCGTACAGAGCAGGCAGGAAAGGAACTGCCCAGGAGGCCATGCAGCGGGGGCGGGGGCTGGCGTGCAGCATTCGTTGTGTGCGTGTGAAGATAACGATGCTCAGCACGCGACTGAGCGAGCAGCGCTGTTCGTTAGTTTGGCTGGGGGCAGGGGGGATGTAACAAGGGGGGCTGGGAGCAGGCGGGGAGGTGAGTGTGGTGGGGAAGGGGGCGTGAGGAGGGAGGCAGAGAGAGAAAAGGGCAGCAAAAAGCCAGCGCTGTGAACTTGAGCAGAGCTCATCAACTGTGGGTAGGTGTCTAAAGCCACCTCAGAAGCTCCCCCGATAGTCCCAGCAGGTGGGTGGGAGTTGGGCTGCGTGGGGAAGAGAGCCAGGTGTCCGGGGTCTCTGAAGTCAGGCAGACGGGAGTGGCTGGTGGGGGTTCAGGTGAGGCTGGGCAGGTTGTGGAGGGGGCTGGAAGGGCACCGGGGGCTCTGAATGATGAAGATGAAGCGTGACAACACTGACCCATTTTGGGTAGCCACAGACAAATGGCCGAATTAACCTAAGTGCCCCACTTTGTCTCAGACTTTCTTCTTCACATCCGAACGCCCTGGCCCGAGTGCCGGTGGAACCCGGCCAGCTCAGAGTGATGGCGCTCTGCCGTCAGGCTGGGCAACGGGATGGGCAGAGCGCTGGGACGGGGCCGAGTCTGTGTGATGAACAGCGCGACGAGTCAGGAGCTCCCCACCCAGGCCCTGTGAGACGGTGGGTCAAAGTCCCTTTTTGTCTCCTTATTTATTACACAAGGTAATTGCTTCTGCCTCGTTCACTTAATAAAGCGCCTTTTTAAATATTTCACTGAGTCAGTACTCGGTGATCCTTTGCGCTTCTCTGCCCTGGATCACCAACCGTCTCCTACAACAAGCCTGACCTTGGCGCCCTCTGTGTGTGTTTGTCTGGGCGGCAGAGACACCCCCGTGTGCCAACCTCCAACTCACACACGGTTCAAGGAGCTCTGCCAAGGCTCTGCCAATGGTTCATTGTCACTGCTGGCTTACCACAGAGTTGCCAGTTCCCTCGCTGGTGGGCACAGGCAGGGGGGAGGGAGCAGCAGCAAGCCAGGGCCATGCGTGCTGGCGCAGCCTGAGAACCAGGCCTGTCGAAGAGAAGAAGAATGACGTTTGCATCCTTCTCGGGAAAGCTGCTGGGCATGTTACAAAAACAAACCCCATTGCAGCGGGGGAAAAACACATTTCACAACCCCCAGCAGCAGCTCGGCAGGAGCTGCAATGTCAAACTGGCCTGGGTGGTTTTTCCTGGGTGTGGTGCTGGAACCCAAGGTTCCAGTTCACAGCCTTTCCATTTCAACAAAGCCAATACAGGAAATGCCAGGGGGGGTGTGTGTGGGTGGGGGGGGGGGGGGGGTGTATGTTCTCAAACAGCAGGTGACAGGCATTCCCCAAGAGGAATTCAGGCATTTTCTGTAGGTGGACTTGCGCATGGATGAGATGCAAAGCTTTCCTGCCCCCACCCCTGACATGGCACGTAGCACTCAGATAGACCCATTAAAATCAAAGACACTTCCCCAAGCCACCAGCTACTGGTCACTCAGAAGGTGACTAGCAAGGCATCCGCCAAGGGGCACTGTGATGGGCTGGATGGGCTTCAGAAGTTGGCCCAGACCGGGGGGTTGGACAAGTGGAACGTGTTGGGTTCCAGGGGACATTCTGAGCTGACCCAGGCCCGGGGCACTGGGCTGGCTAGAGATAGGACGTGCTGCAGCAAGGTGGGTTGAGTGTTTTGGGCTAGACTGGCGGGTGAATCAGGACTAGTGTTGCCATCTGTCCCAAGTTTGCAGGCTAGTCTCTAAGTTCAGGAGACTGTCCCATCACCATGAGCTCCAGCACATCCAAAATCCTTCTCTTCCAGCTCTCTGAGGGAAAAAGTGTAGGGAGGAAGAAAGAGAGACCCATTTCTCCTTGTGCAGAGACAGGTCCCTATAGCCTCAGGGTATGGTGTATGGAAAATTGTGTTCGAATTCTGCTCTATCACTTTAAATTCTCTGGGGTTTTCCTGGTCCTGCTTGCAGGTGGAGGGCTCTGTAAGGAAGCATGTGACCTGGGCCAGACACCCCAGCGTAAGGAGGGGTGAGTTGTGCCTCTGCCTGCCTTAGGGAGCAGCCTGCTTCATCTCTCTCTGGTTTTGAATTCTTGTGTGTTATCATTTTGGATTCTATGAAATATAGTTATGTTATGGTGCAACCTTCCTGCAAGAGTATTTATGACACAGGGAAGTTGCACTGAGCTAAGAGCCCAGAGACCATGAGTTTAAATCATCTCTTCAGCTGTTAGTATCTCTGGGTAGGTCACACCCTTTAATATTATGGAAAGCTTATGAGCTCCCTATTCGGCAGACATGTATCATCCTCTCTCCCCCTCCCCACCACTTTACACATATTTGTAAGATGAAGTCAAAGACTCATAGACGTTAAGGTCAGAAGGGACCATTCTGATCATCTAGTCTGACCTCCTGCACAACGCAGGCCACAGAATCTCACCCACCCACTCCTGTAACAAACCCCTAACCTATGTCTGAGCTATTGATTTCCTCAAATCGTGGTTTAAAGACCTCAAGGTGCAGAGAATCCTCCAGCAAGTGACCCGTGCCCCACGCTGCAGAGGAAGGCGAAAACCCCCAGGGCCTCTGCCAATCTGCCCTGGAGG